ACGTTCTACTCCAGATTCCGGAAGTACCAGCTGGGGACCCAGCCCTCCCAGCCAGCGCTGGGTCTTCCTGCTGAAATCCCTGTCATTGCTAGAGCCATCAACAGGTGGCCAGCACACACCGGCCCGGGTCTGGATGTGAACACTCGTTTGCTGAGAGCATCTAGGAGATACTGCTACCGGGACAATCCAGGGAGATGGCTCACAAGTGACTCAGTGACACAGTCTTTACACTCACAGGGAATTAGGACGCCCCTTTGCAGATTATTTACTGAAACTTAAATGAATTTTTAACTTAATGACATTGTCTGTGGTTAAAAAACAACAGGATCTTAACTTGTGTCCGTGGGCAGAGAAGTTAATGAACTCCTGCAAAAACAAGTCATTTAGAATCGACTTTCGGCTAGACTAACTTTTCAGCTGAGAGTGAAACTGCTTCTTTTTTCATTCTAAAAAGCCATTTGGTTTTATACTGATCAAAACATTATGTCTGGTAGGGGAAGAATAAACTTTTTCTTTTTTTATATTTTCTTGGCTGCACCGCACAGCGTGTGGGATCTTAATTCCCTGACCAGGGATGGAAACTACACCCCTTGCATTTGAAGCGTGGAGTCTATAATTTTAAGCTGACACTGATTTACTGGCTTTGGAGTTCCAGGTCCCAGAAGATGAGTGAAGGGGCTGGGACCTGGGTCTGCTCGACCCTCAGAGATTCTTCAGTATGCTTGTCAGGGGTCTGGTGGACCCACACAGACCAGGGAGGGACAAAGAAGGTTCAGAAGGCAGCAGGGCGCCTCAGCTTTGGATGAGACACTTTATCTGTCTCTTTCCCAGGGACACTCAGGGAGCTGGGCACGGGCACTGTGTGTGTGTGTGTGTATGTGTTGTGATCAAACACTTGGCTGAGCCCCTGGGGCCCTGGAGACCCTGGTCTGAGAAATCCTAGTGGAACCAGAGCTGAGGGGCTGTTGGTTTGGGACACGAACTTGGCTCTTTCCTCCTCAAGCTTTTCAGCTCACAAAGCATTTTCATATCCTCATCTTATTTCATATCTGGGAGAAGTGCTAACGCCTTCAGTTTTCAAAGAGAGGTGATGCTCAGATGTGGGGCTGGCTTCCCCCGAGGTCACAGGGCTGGTGAGAGGTTATGGGCAGGGATGGGTGAGATGATCTGGTTGGGAAAGAGGGTTATCATAGATTAAAAAAACCCAGCAGGTAGTGGCTCAGTGGTAAAGAACCTGCCTGCCAAGGCAGGAGACCCGAGTTTGATCCCTGGGTTAGGAAGATCCCCTTGAGAAAGATATGGCCACTCACTCCAGTATTCTTGCCTGGAAAATCCCATGGACAGAGGAGCCTTGTGGGCTGCAGTTTATGGGGTCAGAAAAGAGTCGGACATGACTTAGCAACTCAACAAGTGTAAGACACAATTCTATTGGCATAAAGTTAGTGTCTGTTGGGAGAAAGAAAAAGAAGTGAGTGCTAACCCTGCCCTCCCAGCCTCAAAAGCAAAAGTGATGAATGGCAGACACATTATTAAAGTGTCACAGTGAAAGGTTGTCTAAGCTGTTGGAAGGACCAGGCTTGGGGAGCTGGAGTGGGTGTAGCAGAAGTGTTCTGGCTTCCCTGGTGTTATTCTTTTTCCTGGGAGGGACCCAGCCTGTGTCTCCTGGCATAAATGAAGCATCAACAAACATCTCTCCAGCTCCACTCATGTGCAGAGTGTTCATGGCTCCCCCAGGACCGGCTCCTGATTCTCTTTCACACCTGGGCACCTCCAGCTCTGCCTGAGCTCCCCCGCAGACTCCCCCTACCCATCCCCCCACACCCCCCCACACCCCCTGCCGTGGGCTTGTCCTCTGCTTGGGGGTCTCCTGCAGCTGTCCACCCCTCTAGCTCTCAGCCCCTCCCCCACCTCTGATGTGCTTGGCTGAGCTGGGTAGGGAAGGACAGCTTCTTTGTCACTTCTGTTGGGCCACACGTAGAAAGTTCTAGGGCCTGTGTTCTTCCCCACCCCCACTCTTGCTTCTCCAAGTGCCAGCTGACGGTGTCCCAGAACAAGAGCTGGAAGTTGGCGGGGCCGACGTGGGGTGAATGAAGTTCTGGCCATCTGGCCAATTCACTCCTGTAGGCAGAAACCTTACAGAAGGGCTGGGATGATTGACCCGCCCCATGTTGGGCAAGCCCTCCCCCTCCCCAGCCCTCTTTGGGCCTCAGTTTACCCGTCTGTGCAGAGGCAGTAAGAGTCCTTGCCCGGCTCATGGACGGGCAGGCTGTGATGAGGTCATCCCAGAGAAGCATTTACCGTGCATCTCAAAAGGTAGTTATCTCTGTTGCTCAGTCCACAGCCTATTTGCGTGCCGTTCCTCAAAGCCTTGTAAGGAAAACGCCAGGAAGGCGTGGTCCTGGCAGAAACCATCCCTGTTTGTGTTGCTGTGTGTGCTTGGGGGTGGGGGAGGGGAACCGGAACAATGCCTCCTGCCTTACTGAGCACCCAGTATGTGTCGAACCGGGCACTGAGCTCTGAGGTTGAATATCCTCAGGAGCCCCCAGCATCGTCCATCCCCAGGCCTGAGGCCCTGGGGCGGTGGCTGGGTGTCTAATCCGACCCAGACAGTGTTCCTTGAGCTTCCTGAGAGAGAGCTTGCGTGACTTGGGTAGAAGCCTTCTGTGAGTTATCTGAAGCGTGCTGATGGCCCCTGGAGCCCCCAGCCTTGTAGGGGAGACCAAAGTGTTTACAGTCCACCACAGTACAGGACTTCAGCTTCTCCATCAACCTAGATGATCCCCGCCAGGCCTGTGGTTCCACGGGCCATGAGCATGCTTCAGATAGCTAAGATAGCTAACAGAAGGTTTCCACCCAAGTCACGCAAGCTCTCTTTCAGGAAGCTCAAGGAACACTGTCTGGGTCGGATTAGACACCCAGCCACCGCCCCAGGGCGTCAGGCATGGAGCTGGATGATGCTGGGGGCTCGGGTACTCATGGGGGCCCTGGCCCCTGGGATGAGCTCCCCAGCGTGTGGGGAGCTCTGCAGCACGTGGCTCACGTGGGGTTCCCTTGATCCAGCCAGGATGAGCCCGGCCACTCTCTCTCACTTCCATAATGGCTGCTTCTTTAGGTTCCCGAAGTCCTCTGCCCTGAATCAGGTCCTTCCTGGTCCTCTGCCTGCTCTCATCTTAATTCTGTTTCCAGAGATTCCCCCTTCTTTTATTTATTCATTTTTTTTTTTTAATGTGGACCATTTTAAAAGTCTTTGTTGAATTCGTTACAATACTGCTTCTGTTTAAAGTTTTGGTTTTCTGGCCCAGGAGGCATGTGGGGTCTTAGCTCCCTGACCAGGGATCAAACAGGCACCCCCTGTGTTGGGAAGCGAAGTCTTAACCACTGGACCACTGGAGAAGTCCCCCAGAGAGCCGCTCAGCCCCCATCCACTGCCTCTGTACACAGCCCAGGGCTCTGCGGTGCCCCAGGCAGAAATTTCTGGCTCTTCGCTCCGGCCCCTCCCCCACTTCCCCTGTCTCTGGTCAGACTGGATTCCTCTGAATCCGTTCTGGTTCCCAGAACTAGCTGCATTTCCCCACCTCGGGCACCTTTGTCCTCACTGTTCCCTCTCTCTGTTCTCCTTCACCTAGTTCGGCTGCCTAGCCCAACTCCAGGGGTCCCCTCCGTGGAGATTTCTGTCCTCAGAGTCCTCAGCTGCACAACCCAAGAATTCAGTGCTCCCTGGAGTTGTGCCAGGCAGCTCCCCCTCCCAATCAGGCCCCCTCCCCGGCAACCCCACCTCCAACTCCATCTGTTTAACCCTCCCCTTCGAAGTCTCGTGGGACTTTGCTCCCATTCCGGCTTTATCGGAGGACCGCTCTGTGTATCTTCCCTAAGTAAACACCTGTTTGTTGGGCTGAAGTCCCCACGGTCTGACCCATGGCTTTCTCTTGCTGACTTCCCCCACCACCTAGTTCTGGCCAAGCCAACTGAGCTCCAGCAGCAACTGGCTGAAACTTCTGAGCTTGGGGGGCCGGGGGTAGGGTGGAGCAGGCTTCCTCCTCTCTTTGGCCAAAAAGGTGTCACCTCCAACACCCATCCTCAGCAGGGTTGGGAACCCAGGTGATGGTGAGAGAGGAGGAGGGCAGGTGAGGGATCCAGGAGTCCGAGCCCCCCACCCCAGCCGTTTGCTCCTTAAAACTGGCCCTCACCAGGCCAATGTCTAGACCTCAGGTGAGGATGGTGGCTGGTGAGACTCTTAGCTATTAACAATTATCAGGCCAGTGATGAAGCTGATACAGACTCTGCCAACAGTAATCAAGGTGGGGCTGCTCTTCGGCAGTTCCAGGACTCTATCCTCAGACCCTCTCCCTGAGTGTGGTCACACAATCCCCCACTCCCACCCTGTCCATCCATCCAAGCCTGGAAAGAGGGAGCCCTGGGACGTGGGGACCCTTCTCTTCAGGTCCCCAGACTGGGCTGGGCCTGACTCCTCCTCCCGCCCCTCAGGGATGTCCAGGTGCTTTGGAGGCTGTGACTCAGTGTCTGTCTCCTGGGTGACCTCAGCAGGGGCCTGGGGGCAGGGGGAAAGGGCAGTTTCCTCTGAGACTGGATCGTGACTCAGGGGCCCAGGGCTGGGACCTGAAAGTCCCTTTGTTGGCAGGCTCAGGAATCTAGAGGAACTGGTCAGGGGGCGGCTCCAGGGACTGAAACCCCTCCCTCGGCCCCCGCCCCTCCCGCGGAGCACCATATAACCGCCCCAGTCTTGAGCCCGCGAGCCTGTGGCTGCAGTCGGGCAGGAAGGAAGCTGGTCGGGTCACACTCGCTGGGTTTGTGCCTCTGACTCTCTCGGGAGAGACGTCTGAAGCGGCTCCAACTGGCTTTGCCCCCGGACTCCCTCCCGGTGAAAGGCCTTGCTGCGCAGTAGCCGTCCGCGGCTCTTGGACTCCTACAGCCTCCAGGGCAGGATCCTCAGAGCCTTTCCAGGTGCCAGACGCGCCCCGCCTCCTCGCAGACGCTGAGCCATGGCTTCCATGGGGCTGCAGGTAATGGGCATCGCGCTGGCCGTGCTGGGCTGGCTGGGCGCCATCCTGAGCTGCGCACTGCCCATGTGGCGCGTGACGGCCTTCATCGGCAGCAACATCGTCACGTCGCAGACCATCTGGGAGGGCCTGTGGATGAACTGCGTGGTGCAGAGCACCGGCCAGATGCAGTGCAAGGTGTACGACTCGCTGCTGGCGCTGCCGCAGGACCTGCAGGCGGCCCGCGCCCTCATCGTCATCTGTATCATCCTGGCCGTGTTTGGCGTGCTGTTGTCGGTGGTGGGCGGCAAGTGTACCAACTGCGTGGATGATGAGAGCTCCAAGGCCAAGATCATGATTGTGGCCGGCGTGGTGTTCCTGCTGGCCGGTCTGCTGGTGATGGTGCCCGTATCCTGGACGGCTCACAACATCATCCGCGACTTCTACAACCCTCTGGTGGCTTCGGGCCTGAAGCGGGAGATGGGGGCCTCGCTCTACGTGGGCTGGGCCGCCGCTGGCTTGCTGATGCTTGGCGGGGCCCTGCTCTGCTTCAACTGCCCGCGCCGCAACGACAAGCCCTACTCCGCTAAGTACTCCGCCGCCCGCTCCGCCCCAGCCAGCAACTACGTCTAAGGCGCTACTGTTGACTCTTTTTTTTTTTTTCCTTTCGTCTTTGTTTCTCCATGGACTGAGCTCACTGCAATCTGTGACCCTGGGCGGATGGCCTGGCCATGGGTGGCAGGGGACCGGGTCAGCAGCCCCCAGAGCCTCCTGGCCCTCTCGGACACTTTCTCAAGGCCACCTCCGACACCAGCAAGGAGGAATGGAAAGAGACCCCTGGGCCACCCTCCTCTGAATGGCTGTGGATACAGGGGGCTGGCTCCTGCTGGCCAGGACAGTTCAGCCCTGACTCTGCTTGGGCTCTGCCTCTGAGTGGGTGCTCAGCAGACCATGGGGACTGCGTTGACCACCGTCCCCCTTCTTCCGTCCTCTCTACTCCCCTCTGCCAGCATTCTCTGGCTGGGCCAGTGAGCACTTAGGCTGGGTCTTGCCCATAGAAACCCGGGGCCGTGAGTATGGCCGCCTTGCTCACCTACCTGCCCTTGGAGCTTAGTTGCAGAGTGGACAGACAGGTTTAGGGGGGAGGGGCGGAGGTGCTACAAACTGGTTTGGGTAGTGGTGGGGGAGGAGGCCATAGAGGTGGCCCAAGCTGCCTGCACCCCTTCCAGCCCCCGACCAGGGCCCCTGGCCCCTTGACCCTGATCACCTCTGGATCCTCCACCCCTGCCAAGGTCATTGGCAGCCTGGAGAGGGCAGGGGGATCACTCTTTCTCTGACCCTCATCCCAGGAAGTCCTGGGGCTCTCCCCTGCCTCCTACGTGGTTTCTGTTTTGTAATTTAAGCTATTTGTCACGGTAATTGCTATTATTTTCTACAATAAATGGGACCTGTGCACAGGAATTTTCTCTATTGATCTGATTTCAGTTGTGGACATGGGGCGGGGGGGGGGTGGGGGGGTGGGGTTGGAGGCCTGGGCAGGGGGTTGGTAAGGGGCAGGACCCCCATGGAGTGGCTGGGATGGGAAGACTTAACAAAACTGATATTGGGGAACTGTGAGACATGGAAACTGGCCCTGACCTTTGTAGCCACCTTGCTCAAGCCCTCTGTTTGTCAGTGTAAAGCCCAGGATCCTCGTGAAGTGCTGGGGACCCTAGAAGGGAGGACAGAGGAGAACAGCCAGCCCTGGGGGATGGGCCACCTGCCCCCTCCCACTTTTGCTCCAGGTTGTCTGGGCAGCCAGGCTGGTCAGCCCACCCCCCAGATCGTTTCTCCCAGCCTGTGCTCAGGCTGTCCCTGCCCTCAGCCTGGAATGTCTTTTTTCCCTCCTCCACCCTCTGAACCCTGTTAGTCCTGAAGGCCCGGCTCCGCGCCTCCTGCTCCGTGAAGCCTTCCCATGGCTCCTGTGTGGAGGAGTTATCATCAGCCCTGGGCACATCCCCACCAGCGCTGGTGCTGACTAGTCACCCAGGCCCTTTCACCTGCTGGGCTCTGGGGCAGCCTCCAAGTGACACCGTGAGATTCTCTGCTCCGCATTCCGATCCCTTTAGAGATGAGGAAACCGAACCCAGGACACGTGAAAGTGTTTGGCCAGATGTGTGAGCATGGGTTCCTGATCTGCGGGTTAGAGGGAGGGGGCCCTCCACCCTGGGAGGAGTCGCGGAGTCGCATCTGTGGCCCTAGCGTGCCAAGGCCCAGGGGCAGCCGGGCCTCTTTGTCCTGTTTCTTCCCTCTGTCTCCGGATGAGAAAACCACAGCGCCGGAGTTCTGATGTCCACTTCGGGTCTCATTTAATAGGCACAGCTCTCCTGGGGGCAGGGGTGACTCACTAGCTTCACTTTACAGGCAAAGCAGAGGAGGCCCGAGGTTGGGCCTGGTTGAGGCCACAGGAGGGTCGGAGGCTGGCTGGGGCCTAGGCACCAGGCCTCCCTCCCACAGCCTGGGCTGCCGCCTGCTTCCGGTACAGGTAGATGATGCCAGAGATGAAGCCGTCGCTGTCGGAGGTGCCAGGCCCCACCTCGAGCTCGGAGGTGGCCAGTTCCCACCGGTCTACAGGCCGGGCCACCAGGCGTTCCCATGCCCCGGCCTGCTCCAGCCTGTCCAGGGTGGCCTCCAGCGCCTCTTTGTATCGAAGGTTGGATGGGTTGGTCCTGGTGGTCATACAAACCAGCCCACCTGGAGAGGGACGGGAGAGGAGCAGGTGAGTGGGGGGACAGGGAAGTTGGTCCTCTTCCCACTCACATCCTCACAGGTGGAAGTCCTCCCAGCTTTGAACCCAGGCCAGCTGTTTCCCATCTCCAAGCCTCTGGGGCTCGCTGACCCCTCCCTCAGGCATATAGCCTCTGCTCCTCCAGCTTGATGGCCTCCTATGCACCCTTCAAGGCTCAAGCATCCTTTCCGCTGGGAATTCTTGGCTGAACCCCCTTGACAGAGGGGGCTACCTTCTCCCTGCTCACCCAGTCTGTCTGCTGGAGGGTGTGGTTGGGTCTGAATGCTAACGGGCTTTGGACCTAGAGCAAGTCCCCTCACCTCTTGGCCTCTCGGTTTCCCAGCTTACAACGCGAGGAAGATTACCGTCTCACAGGAAGCCCAGCACACTCAGTAAGCGCTGGCTGAATGAATGAGTGACCTCGTCCCTCCAGGTCTTCTCTAGGCACCTACTGTGTGCCCAGCACGGGCTCAGGTATACTTAGAAGAGACAGGGGTCTGGAAGGCTTCCTGGAGGAGGAGGTAAGGAGAAGCAGGGTGCTACTGGGGGAGGGGGGGGCTTTGTAGAGGAAAGGCTCTGAAGCAGGAGAGCCTGTGACCTGTGGGCAGGCAGACTGGCCAGCTGAGGGGCCTGGCAAGCCCAGGCTGGGCGAGGTGGCCTGGTCTCCTTACTGATTCAGGTGATGGAAGTTTCCTGTCCCTCTGAGCCTGATCACTACCTCTCGACACAATGTCCTTGCATCCGTCAGCCTCTGTGGTTCCCTGAGGGTGAAGCCTGTCCGGACCTGCCCTGACTTAACCACAGCCCCTGCTGGGCCCTGAGGGCAGTGAAGCGGGGCAGGAGTAGATGAGGTCTTGCTGGGATGGGGCACCTTCAGGGCTTCCAGATCCTGTGCTTCGACCGGGTCTGAATCTCACAGTCCTCATACTTCACCACTCTCCTTTCTGCCTGGGACTTCGCTTAGACTGTGAGCCTGCGTGTCACCCCGACATGCCAGAAGTGGGAGATGCCTCGCTTCCCTGAATTCTTGGAGGACTGAACACCCACATTCCTGGGGCCCACCTCCGGCCTGGTCTTTTTCTCCTGGCCCCTTCCCAGGGTGTGTGGGGTGCGTGTATACCTTCTCCCCAGTCCAGAGGCTCCCATGGGGTAAGGCACACAGTAGGAACACAGTAACCACAATCCCCACCTGCACCTCAGCCCCGTGTGTGGAGTTTATAGAAAAGTGCTTATATCTATCAGCTCCATTTCACAAATAAGGAAACTGGGGCTGCGAAAGTGAAAGACACTCCTCTAATGGCTGGCCCTGAGTTAGTGGGGAAGCTATAAGATGAGGGAACTGAACTGAGCCCCTGCTATGTGCCAGGATTGAAATACAGGCCTTATAGACACTGAGTGAGCAAGTGAAAGTCATTCAGTCGTGTCTAGCTCGTTGCGATTCCATGGACTATAGCCTGCCAAGCTCCTCTGTCCATGGAATTCTCCAGGCAAGAATACTGGAGTAGGTAGTTAGTTATTCACTTCTCCAGGGGATTGTCCCGACCCAGGGATCGAACCCAGGTCTCCCACATTGCAGGCAGATTCTTTTGTCTCAGTCTGAGCCACCAGGAAAGCCCTGATAGACGCTGCTGCTGCTAAGTCGCTTCAGTCGTGTCCGACTCTGCGCGACCCCATAGACGGCAGCCCACCAGGCCCCCCCGTCCCTGGGATTCTCCAGGCAAGAACACCAGAGTGGGTTGCCATTTTCTTCTCCAACTGATAGACACTACTTCACCCAATTCTCACTGCAACGCTTGTGGGGAAGGGACTGTGCCACTCTGCTTATTGGTGAGGATACAGAGGCCAAAAAGGAGTGGAGCTGTTTCCAGTTTCCCAGTGGCTGAGAGGCAAGCTGACTACCTGGGTCTGTTGATGGTGGCAGCTGAGGCCGAGCCTGGGCTGGAAGCTGGTGGCTGAGATACTAGACTGTGTGACCCCAGGCACACCCCACACCTCGCTTGGCCTGAGGGGTTCTGAGGCTTGTGTCTGTGCATGTGGAGGAGGGAAGGTGTGCGTGGGTGTGGTTGGACGGGTTGCTTCTCACCTGACTTGGTAACTCGCAGGAGCTCAGGTATTGCGCTGCAGGGCACCTGGCCATCACTGAGGGCACCCACCATCAGCACCGCGTCGAAGGTCCCTGTGTGGGGGTGCAGATATGGTGTGGTGGTTTGTCTTCAGTGTGGCCTCAGACCACCCTGGAGGATGGTGTTCATGGTGGGGACTGGGGAGGGACCAGGCCTGCTGCTGGGGTCTGAAGGACCATGATCCCCTGGGCCATATGGCAGCTGTGGCCCTGTCCTGGACTGAGATCAGGTCATGGGATGGAAGTTTCAGAAAAAGCATCTCAGTGAGAGATTGAGGGGCTCGGAGTGTGTGTGTGTGTGTGGGGGGGGGGGTTGGGGAGAGCTAGGCAAGGGGGATGGCATCTTGGCAAAAGGAAGGGGCTCTGTCAGAGGGTGGGCCTTGGGCTGTCAAGGTGGGAGGGAAGTACCTTCAGCACTGGGTAGTGGCTCCTGGCCCAGGGTGCAGAGGCTGAGGCACTGGTAGAGGCCGCGGGCCCGGGCCTGATCCAACATCCCTGGGCTTCCATCCACCCCATGCAGCTGGCTGAAGCCCCGAGCCTGCAGCTGGGGTGGGGGGACCCACTCATAGTTCCCACCTGCCACCTCCCAGGTGGGTCCCCGCACCTCGGGGAGGACAGTGGGCCCCACGGTGGATGTGGTCCCAGTGTCTGGAAACAGTGAGTCTGAGGAGGCGAGCGGGGATCTGGGGCTGGGGTAGTAGGAATTTTGAGCAAGTAGGGGCTGACGGGAGGGTAGGGGGTCTGGGGTGGCCTCACCTCTGCAGCCACGAGGCCAGTACCACAGGCCACGTCCAGGATCAGGGCAGCGTGGGGTGGATCCGGAAGGGCTTGGGTGAGGCAGTCGACTGCGAGGCGGGGAGCGCAGTACTGCAGGGCAGCCACATCCTGGGGACAGAATGCTGAGCCAACCACCACCCCATGCTCCGGCATTTAGGGGTGCTTCTTGTGGGGTAGAGCCAGCCAAGCCAAGCTGTATGTGTGTGCTGGGGGCCCAGGATCTGCTGGAACTACAGTGAGGGGAGACCCAGGTGTGAGGTGCTTTTCTCTGCCAATGGGCTTTTTCTGTGGGCCTTGGCATCGCTCTCTGCTTAGTTCATTGTGACCCCTCACAGCACCTCTTCCAGGCAGCTCCTCTGCCTGGACTCCTGTACCTGGGTGAGGAGGTCTTGGCCCCCAATCTCTAGGAGCTGCCAATCTGGAAGAGGGTCAGAGGGCAGGGCCACTGTGGTTGGGCTGAAGAAGAGTTGGATGGAGAGCAGACAGGACTGGAGGTTGCACCCAGGTCTTACTTCACTCTCACATTCATCTCCCTGGGATGATGCTAGGCTTACTATTCCGGCTTTACAGACAGGAAAATTGAGGCCAGGTGAGCGGAGGAGGGCAGAGGTGAGGACCTAGCCGGTTTACCTGGTCATAGTTCGGAGCCCATTGGTCATAGAAGTGAAGCTTGTGGGCCAGATCAGTGATGCCATGCGAAGCCCCAACGAGCGCACGCACCTCGGACAGGCTCCTGCCCTCCGCCATCCTGCTGTGGGGACATGGCCCACCTCAAGCTCTAACCCCCCTCCCACCCTCGTGCGGAGCAGAGGAGGCTGTCAGGACGCGGCCTCTGCGCGCCTCTGCCCGGGGAACAATGCAATCCCATTTCACAGGAGGGAACCCTGAGCACAGAAAGTGCGAGGCTGGACACCTGGGGGCTCAGGGCTGCGGAAGGGGTGTTTCCCGCGGTGAGGGGCAGGGGGAGGACCTGCCCTCGTCTCCCAATCGGCTTTGGTGAGAGGGATTCCAGGGTAGAAGGGCCCTTAAGACCTAGGTGGTCAGAACTCACCGCCAATCTGACCCGCCGGGGAGGTGGGTGGGCTCCGGAACTCTGGGCGGGGCCTGTACTGAGAGCCTGGCCCCGCCCCCATCTCGTCCAATGATTGGTTTTCCGCTAAGAGAAAATGCCCAATCAGAGCAAAGCACTAGCAACCCGTCCCTCCACCACCAACCAATGAATTCAAAGTTCTTGGGAACGCCTTCAGCCTGGAAAGATCCCAGAATCTTCAGAGACGCTTTGAAAGGTATCCCGGTGGAGGAATATTTCTTTTTCCTCCCGGCTCCAGACGTCCTTTATGCTTCCCCAAAGCATCAGCTTTTAGGCAGTAGGAGCCTTAGAATTCCAGAGGGACAAAGAGGGACGTAGGATCAGCCTTCATTTTTAGAATAATCACCAAGATCCATGAGAGGCTGCCCAGTAGAACTGATGAGAGCATTGTTTTATAATAGACGCTGTTCAAATGGCTGTTGAGCACTTAAAATGTGTCTAGTGCTGCTGAAGCCAAACAACTCAGATTGGGACTCGAACCCAGTTGTGCTTCAGATGGGACATGAACCCACAACTTCTGGCTATGGAGCAGGCTCCAAGCACCAGAGAAGACTGAGTCTGTAGATGGAGGAATCTGGGCCCTAGATTGTGTGGGGCAGTGCCCTCTCTACTAACCTGCATTGCACTGTAACACGAAAAATAAATAAATAAATATGAAAGAAATGGCAACCCACTCTAGTATTCTTGCCTGGGAAATCCCATGGACAGAGGAGCCTGGCAAGCTACAGTCCAAGGGGTCACAGGAGTTGGACACGACTTAGTGACTAAACAATAATAATATACATATGCTCTTTTTCATATGCTTTTTCATTATAGTTCACCAAAGGATATTGAATATAGTTCCCTGTGCTATATAGTAAGACCTTGTTGTTCATCCATTCTATATAGAATAGATTGCATCTGCAAATTCCAACCTCTGCCTTGGCAACCACAAGTCTGTTCTGCATGTCTGTTTCTGTTTTGTAGATAAGTTAATCGATGTCATATTTTAGATTCTACATACAGGTGATGTCGTATGGTATTTGTCTTTTCCCTAATGAAACAGAAGGGAAAGGGGGCAGGGCACAACTTTTAAAAGAATGACATAGCCATTGAGGGTATGACAAACTGGTTAGAACCCACTAGGTCTAAGATGGCAGAAGATTCAACTTCCAGCAGACCTTGAGGCTCATTCCACGCTCATTGTAATTCACTGTTATTGTTCAGTTGCTCAGTTGTGTCTAACTCTTTGTGACCCCATAGACTGCAGCACACCAGGCTTTCCTATCCTTAACCATCTCCCAGAGTTTGCTCCAACTCATGTCCATTGAGTCGGTGATGCCATCCAACCACCTCATCCTCAAACCCAGTCATGCCTCACAGGGGACTTGAACCCAGCTGTGCTTCAGATGGGACATGAACCCACAATGAATTGTGTAACCCATTAGCATACACTATATGACACACCCATCAGTGAGATGACAGGTATGAGGCTGACCATAAAAGGCCAAAAATGGACAGTGGCCCGATTCCTGGAAATCTCTTCCCCTTATCCAAATAGTTGGAATAATCTTCCCACTCTTTAGCCTATGAAGTTACCTAGCCCGTAAGAACTAACCATCCCATGTGTCAGGGCCTCTTGCCTTCTGAAATGGCAAACACTCTGTGGAGTGTGTTTCTCTCTAAATGTTGGGTTGGCCAGAAGGTTTGTTCATTTTTTTTCCGGAATAGTGCTTAGTTGTCTTTAACGTCATACGAAACAGTTTTGTTAGACTGTGACAGCTGCTGTATCAGTGTGTATTAAAAAAACATCAAAATTGGTGAATTTTTGTGTAGCCATTTTAATATTGAAGATGGAAGAAAAAAGTCACATTTTCTTCATATAATGCTATATTATTTCAAGAAGTGTAAAAATACAATTGAAATGCAAAAAAAAAAAAAGATTTATGCAGTGTATGGAGAAGATGTTGTGACCAATCAAACGTGTCAAAAGTGATGGTGAAGTTTTGTGTTAGAGATATTTTTTTGCTGGGTGATGCTCCACAGTCAGGTAGACTGGTTTAAGTTAATAGCAATCAGTTGAGATATTGAGAACAATCAACATTATACCACGTGGGAGATAGCCAACATACTCAAAATATCCAAATTAAGCTTTGAAAATCATTTGTACCAGCTTGGTTATGTTAATCACTTAAATGTTTAGGTTCCACATAAGTTACTTGAAAGAAAAATACTTTCTTGACCATATTTCCACATGTGATTCTCTACTGAAACATAATGAAACCTTCTGTTTTTAAAGCAAATTATGATGGGCAATGAAAAGTGGATACTGTATAATAATGTGGATGGAAGAGATTGTGGGGCAAGTGAAATGGACCACCACCAACCATACCAAAGCCCAGTCTTCATTCAAAGAAGGGGATGTTGTATGTATGTTGGGATTGGAAGGGAACTCCTTCTGGAAAAATCAAGGGATTACTTTCAACAAGTACTGCTCTCAGACCAATTGAAAGCAGCACTCAGTGAAAAACATCCAGAATTAGTCAATAGAAAACATAATCTTCCATTAGGATAAGGGAAGACCACATGTTTCTTTGATGACCAGGCAAAAACCATTACATTTTGGCTGGTAAGTTCTGATTCATCTGCTGTATTTGCCAAACATTGCACCTTTGGATGTCCATTTATTTTAGTTTTTACAAAATTATCTTAAAATTTTTTTAAAGTCTTTATTGAATTTGTTACAATATATTTTTTTTTTTTTTGGTCATGAGACATGTAGGATCTTAGCTCCTCAGCCAGGATTGAACCCGCTGACCCTACACTGGAAAGCAAAGTCTTAACCACTGGACCACCAGGGAAGTCCCTACAAAATTCTGTTAATGGAAAAAATTTCAATTCCCTGGAAGACTGTAAGAGTCACATGAAACAGTTTTTTTGCTCAAAAAGATAAAAAAGTTTTGGGAAGATAAAATGATGTAGTTGCCTGAAAAATGGCAGAAGGTAGTGGGAAAAAATGGTGAATACATTGCTCAATAAAGCTCTTGGTGAAAACAAAAAATATGTCATTTATTTTTATTTAAAAAACAGAAGGTACTTTTTGGTCAGCCCAATAAATTCACTTCTTACCTATCACTTTGTCTCTCCCTGAATTCTTTCTGCAATTAGACATAAAGAACCTGAGGTTTATTAGGTCCTGAGACCAGGAGTGTGAACTCAACTAAAAGACAATGGTTTCTGGTTGAGTTTGAGTCCTGGGATGTAGTTATTTAAACCCCAATCTGAGGAGCAAGGTTTTATTAAGACTCAGAAAGAAACTTGGGGGCTGCCCCGGTGGTCCAGTGGTTAAGATCATGTTTCCACAGCAGGGACACAGATTTGATCTCTGGTTGGGAAACCAAGATCTCACATGCCTCTTGATGTAGCAAAAAAAAAAAAAAGAAAATTTGACCTTCCCCCTAACTGCCTAAAATATTTAGATAGGGCTATCGCCATAGATATCTGCAAAGAATGTGAGCTAGGTGTAGTGGGGGGAAATTCCAGGAAGCCTAGAGATCAGAGTCCTCTCTCTGCCCATTGTCTCTGCCTGGCCCAGCAAACATTTGTTTTCCAAACATGTACTTTTCTGTGATATCAGTGGCCTTCTTCCTTTTTTCTTAAAATGCTTGTTTATTTATTTGGCTGTGTTGGGATCTTTATGTAGCACACCCTTTCTGTGGATTTTTTGTTGTGGTACATGGGCTGTCCAGTTGTGGCTCATAGGTTTAATTGCCCCTCAGCATTCGGGATCTTCATTTCCCAACCAGGGATCCAACCCAAGTCCTCTGCATTGGGAAGCAGATTCTTAATCACTGGACCACCAAGAAAGTCCTGCCTTCTTCCTTTGTGAAATTTCAGACCCCTGTCCCAACATCCTCCTTTATCTTTCGCTGATGATGGTATTTAAAGTGAGTGTTTCAGCCAATTCATTGAGTTACTCAGTTTTCCTGGGGTCTGTTCCTTGAATGTTGTTTAGTCACTCAGTGACGTCTGACTCTTTGCTACCCCCATGGACTGTAGCCCGCCAGGCTCCTCTGTCCATGGGATTTCCCAGGCAAGAAAACTGGAGTGGGTTGCCATTTCCTTCTCTAGGGGACCCTCCCCACCCAGGGATCGAACTCACGTCTCCCGCCTTGGGAGGCAGAGTCTTTACCACTGGAGCCACCATTACATGGTATTAAACTTCTGTTTGATTTTCTCTTGTTAATCTCATGTCAATTTAAATCTTAGGTCAGCCAGGAGAACCTAGAAGGGTAGAGGAACATTTCTTCCTCCCCTGAAACAGAGTTCCCCTGCCAAGTTTATGATTATCCTCTATCCAAAACATTGTTCTCTTTCTTGTCTCACACCCATTCCCCTCAGGATTGAGGAGTATCAAAGAAAAGTGGGGAATGAAACCCTCCTGAGTACAAAAGCCTCTCTGTGTTGCCAGGTTCCTGTTTATAGAAAATGGCTTTAGTCTCCTACGGCTGCCCTGAGTTCCAAAGAGCAGGCACAAGCATCACTAACTAGGGAAATGAGGGAACGTGAACCAAAGGAAAAGCAGTTAAGAGAGAAAATAATGACAATAATTCAGCTATAAAACTGAGTCCTAGTTCCTCTTTAAGGGACATACGTAACCATCTGGCACGTATCTTGG